ATGTTACTTTGTATCTCTCTATCTCCCGTCTGATCGATGTTTATAAACAATGTTACTTTGTATCTCTCCATCTCCCGTCTGATCGATGTTTATAAACAATGTTACTTTGTATCTCTCTATCTCCCGTCTGATCGATGTTTATAAACAATGTTACTTTGTATCAGGGGCGGACTAATCATTTGGAAACTCAGGCACTGCCCGGGGTCAGTAGGGAGCCACATGGGATGCCTCTGGTACCTTTTTCATAGGCTTTTTTGAGTTTGGGCAAGGATACAGGGGCCCCATGATCCCCTATTGCCCAGGGCCCCATGAGTTGTTAGTCCGCCCCTGCTTTGTATCTCTCTATCTCCAGTCTGATCGATGTTTATAAACAATGTTACTTTGTATCTCTCTATCTCCCGTCTGATCGATGTTTATAAACAATGTTACTTTGTATCTCTCTATCTCCCGTCTGATCGATGTTTAGAAACAATGTTACTTTGTATCTCTCTATCTCCCGTCTGATCGATGTTTATAAACAATGTTACTTTGTATCTCTATCTCCCGTCTGATCGATGTTTATAAACAATGTTACTTTGTATCTCTCTATCTCCCGTCTGATCGATGTTTATGAACAATGTTACTTTGTATCTCTCTATCTCCATTCTGATCGATGTTTATAAACAATGTTCGTTTGTATCTCTCCATCTCCTGTAAATCCCGCCCCCTTTTGTTTTCAAAAATAAAGTATATCGGGCCCTTTAATCGATCCTCAGGCCACTCCTGTAAGACAATCCCCACAATTTGTGTCTCCCAAATGGGTAAGATTCATTTGAAGAAAAGCCAAGCTCCTCCTCCTGCGCCTCTATTTCTTTTCTTGTAAGTCGGTGTTTTGTGGCAGAAAAGAATCTAAATATGTATTCCTGCAGAATGTTTCTTCCCTGCCCATTATGTACACTGAGCCCCGGCATGCCAGGGATGCCAGGACAGAGCGACTCCTGGGCATGTGTACGGGAGTCCTGTCATCCCTGCCAATCAGGACAGCCGAAGACTCTGCACCGGGAAGAAGGCCAGGAGAACACGGAAGCATTGGAAGAGGAGTGAGGATGAAGAGCGCGCTTTTCAAGGTAAGTGAACAAAAATACGCTGAACATACCTGAGCTCAGGGCCACCATTACAAATCGCCGGGCCCCATACAGGTCTTCCTTAGAGAGCCCTTTACAGCCCGCCTGACAGCCCCCCCCCCCCCCCAGTCTACCCTGGCGGATGGATATAGAAGAGGCTGAAAGTCATTGCAGGGAGGATTACACCAAAAATGAGTAAACAGTCCCCTCTCTCTCCTGGCCCCTGTTACTGAACTGATGGGGCCCCAGAAACTTTTACTTATTTATTTTTTAATTAACATTTTTATTTTTAATTTTCAAACATTCACAACAAACAGGCCGGATAGGCAACACAAAGCAGTAGGAGAGAAAAAAAAGAAAACAAAAGCAGGCTCATCGATGGGAGGTACATAGGAACATACAATGTCACTACAGAACAGTAACACGGCAATCAATTTCAGACATTGACCCGCCATATTGGTTTTCATTCCGCCATCACCAAGTGTCTGGAGTCGCGCACACGCGCGCGCGGCCGTTTCCAGCTTCAAAACCAACCTGCTGCGTGACCGCTGAGAATGGCGGACCGCGACGCGTCTGTCGCTGGAGAAATAAACGCGATCCCACCTTCGCCCGTAAAAAATACTGAAAACTGAAAAGCGTCAAAATAAAAGCCAGCGCGGCAAAATCTTCACCAAAATCGATCTCTATGAAGTGCCATCAATACATTTTTTTTATAAAATTGCCGCGAATTGCGCTATTTATAACACATTAGCGCCGCGGCCTTGTCCCCGCCCACTGCAGACTTTTCTTTTTTGAATTGTCGAGAACCACGGCCCCTGGGATTACTGCGCATGCGCGCAAATTTAAAGAGTCCCCTCTGTGCTCCTATGCCCCCTGTGGAATGGACGGGACCTGGGCCCCACACAGAAGGGCCGGCCCTAACCCGCCATTGGAGGTCCTGCCTGAACCTTTTGACAAGAGCTCCCAGGGAACCCTAAAATGTAGTTTCGCTCTAAGGACCAAATCCGGCAGTTTTTGGTTTAGATTTTTTTTTGTTTCTAAAGAATAGTAAAAGGTTTCAACAAAATTGGGCATTCTTTTACCTCCCCAGCGGTCTGATGATGTCAGTATTTCTGTGCTCAAAGCGGTACATTTTTTTGCATGGAAATATGTAATTTGTTTATTGTAGTCCTGTAATTTTTAGGAATAACTCCCTGAAATCTGTCCCACAAGAGTCTAGTAAACATCCCGGGGAGGATACAATCTGAAACACGAAATCATAAATTATAATTTAATAAATAATCATAAAAAATAATAATATAATAATAATAAATGTAACTCAATAATATAATCACCAAAAACACTGAAATGTGAAATAGAGCGCCAAGTTGGCACATCGCTGAGCTCAGTCGCAGAATCGTTTTCAGTGTCTGACGACGAATTTCCCCCACCAATCATTATCACTCAATTCTGCAAAATGGTTCTGATTTACTATCGCTGTTCTCTAGCCGGTCTAAAACCGCGTCTGACCTAAAGGGACGCTTTTTGGACACCATGGACGTTTCTCAGTTTCCAGGCAGAAAGGGCAATAAAAATGCAGGCAGGCGCCGGACAAAGCACTCGGGACAAAATGTATGTGAAATGGTTTGATACAGGAATGTTATACTATGTGATTTTACTGTATTTAGTGAATGTAATTTTTTGACATTTCCAAATTTCCCGCCAGTTCCGTCCGCCGTACGTCCCGACGTCGCAGGGAACGGAACCTGGAAGACAGAAGGCGGCATCGGCCGGAGGACATTGCTGGGGACACTGCGGGGGGGACATCGCGGGAGCGCAGGACAAGGTAAGTGCAGAAGAGATCCTGGAGCAACGCTGCAGTGTATTCCCGAGTGTCGCTCGGGGGGGGGGGGCGCTTGTGGCGCTGAAACTTTACCCCGAGCTACACTCAGGAATACCTCCGGGGGGGTTAACCTCCTAAGGACCGCCCGCTGTACATTTACTGCTGCAGGGAGGCCCCTGTGCACAAAATCACATATATATATATATATATATATATATATATATATATATATACGCGATTCGCGCTCCTGTGGTTTTCGCGGGCCGGGCTGACCCGCGGGTGCCCCATTTTGATCCCCGAGGAATCAATCATCCAGTTTAGGCCAGTGATGTCCGGCCCAAGTCGGAAGATCGGTCCCTGTCCTATCCTGTCCTGTGCTGACAGTTACACAGGTACTGGAAGTGATGAAATCTTCTCTCTGGGCACATTCCATCCCAGAGAGAGAAGAATCAACACAACAGGGAGCACAAAGCACTACACTGACAGTTAGAACACACTAGGTCACATTAAACCCATTGATCGCCCCCCCCCCCCACCAGTTAACCCCTTCACTGCCCTGTCACTCGTGTCATTAGTACATCACTGCTGATCCCTGTTTTAGTGTCGCCGGCGACTTCCGATAGCGTTAGCGTCAGTTAGCGCCCCTTCCAGATGGCATCAGATTGCCCGCTAGTACACCAGTAATCACATTTGTAATGGAACCGGACCCCGAATGCACTAGGGTATTTCCGTTAGACTCCCGCTTCTCTGTCCGAACACAGATCCACGGACACCACCGCTGACCATACAAGATGAGACGGCACCAGACTTGTATTAAAACAGGAAATGGACTGCTTTATTTTAACACAGACACAAGATATATACACAGGGCGGGGCAATATACCCAGTAACAGGAAACACATCAGCAGGCCGTCCCATCAGGGGGAAGGGCTGCCGGAAACACCCCCCACCAAGCCCGTACAAACACATACATCCCATATTAGTTTTCTCCCAAGCAAGCCACATAATAGAACAATGGGATACACCATGTGGCAGTAGACAATACAGGAACACATATAACCCATAATAGTTTGCTCCCAAGCTAGACACACAATAGAAAAATGAGACCAAATGGCAGTAAACAATGAACATTCCCCACCTATCTTCTATACATGTCTACACAATATCAGGACAGATCACACTGAACCCCTAACAGGCACAGGGTGACTTACACATAATAGGGATATGGGGAGCTGAGACAGGGGTCTCCCCACCTCTCCAAAGGGGGCTGTGTTCCATGGGCCCCCCACCCAAAGTGACTTCCGTCACAACATTTAACCCCTTGATTGCCAGAAACACGCTGATACGCAATAAACCTCCATTGCTAGTATAGGGTCTGAACCAGGTACGTAGTTACAAGGCAAACAAGGCATTTGCCTAGGGTGGCATTTTTCAGGGGGGGTAGCACCGCTCCCCGGAGGCGGGGTCCGGGGAGAGCGGAAATAGTGAATGCGGGGTCCGGGGAGAGCGGATATAGTGAATGCGGGGTCCGGGGAGAGAGGATATAGTGAATGAGGGGTCCGGGGAGAGCGGATATAGTGAATGCTGGGGGTCCAGGGAGAGCGGATATAGTGAATGCGGGGGGTCCGGGGAGAGCGGATATAGTGAATGTGGGGTCCGGGGGGAGAGGATATAGTGAATGCGGGGTCCGGGGAGAGCGGATATAGTAAATGCGGGGTCCGGGGAGAGCGGATGTAGTGAATGCGGGGTCCGGGGAGAGCGGATATAGTGAATGCGGGGTCTGGGGAGAGCGGATATAGTGAATGCGGAGTACGGGGAAAGCAGATATAGTGAATGCGGGGTCCAGGGAGAGCGGATATAGTGAAAGCGGGGTCCGGGGGAGGGCGGATATAGTGAATGCGGGGTCCGGGGAGAGCGGATATAGAGAATGCGGGGTCCGGGGAGAACGGATATAGTGAATGCGGGGCCCGGGGAGACCGGATATAGTGAATGCGGGGTCCGGGGAGAGCGGATATAGTGAATGCGGGGTCCGGGGAGAGCGGATATAGTGAATGCGGGGTCCGGAGAGAGCGGATATAGTGAATGCGGGTCCGGGGAGAGCGGATATAGTGAATGCGGGGTCCGGGGAGAGCGGATATAGTGAACCCCTAACGCACAGGGGGTCCGGGGACAGCGGATATAGTGAACGCGGGGGTCCGGGGACAGCGGATATAGTGAACGCGGGGTCCGGGGACAGCGGATATAGTGAACGTTGGTCCGGGGAGAGCGGATATAGTGAATGCAGGGTCTGGGGATCTGCTCTCCCTGGACCCGCATTCACCATGGATCCAGTTGTAGAGGTTGGTATGAATGGTTCACATTGTAGAACTTGGTATGGGTTCAGTAGTGAGGGGGGGGTATGGAGCCAGTTGTAGAGGTTGGTATGGGTTCAGTAGTGAGGGGGGGTTAGGAGCCAGTTGTAGAGGTTGGTATGGTTCAGTAGTGAGTGGGGGGGGGGTATGGAGCCAGCTGTAGAGGTTGGTATGGGTCCAGTAGTGAGGGGGGGGGGGGGTATGGAGCCAGTTGTAGAGGTTGGTATGGGTTCAGTAGTGGGGGGGGGGTATGGAGCCAGTTGTAGAGGTTGGTATGGGTTCAGTAGTGAGGGGGGGGTATGGAGTCAGTTGTAGAGGGTATGGGTTCAGTAGTGAGGGGGGGGGGGTATGGAGCCAGTTGTAGAGGTTGGTATGGGTTCAGTAGTGAGGGGGGGGGTATGGAGTCAGTTGTAGAGGTTGGTATGGGTTCAGTAGTGAGGGGGGGGGTATGGAGTCAGTTGTAGAGGTTGGTATGGGTTCAGTAGTGAGGGGGGGGGGGGTTGGAGCCAGTTGTAGAGGTTGGTATGGGTTCAGTAGTGAGGGGGGGGGGGGTATGGAGTCAGTTGTAGAGGTTGGTATGAATTGGTTCACAGTGTAGAACTTGGTGGGTTCAGTAGTGTGGGGGGGGGGGTATGGAGTCAGTTGTAGAGGTTGGTATGAATGGTTCACAGTGTAGAGGTTGGTATGGGTTCAGTAGTGGGGGGGGGGGTATGGAGTCAGTTGTAGAGGTTGGTATGGGTTCAGTAGTGAGGGGGGGGGGTATGGAGTCAGTTGTAGAGGTTGGTATGGGTTCAGTAGTGAGGGGGGGGGGGTATGGAGCCAATTGTAGAGGTTGGTATGGGTTCAGTAGTGAGGGGGGGGGGGGTATGGAGCCAGTTGTAGAGGTTGGTATGGGTTCAGTAGTGAGGGGGGGGGGGGGGTATGGAGTCAGTTGTAGAGGTTGGTATGGGTTCAGTAGTGGGGGGGGGGGGGGGGGTATGGAGTCAGTTGTTGAGTTAACAGTTGGGTGAGCAGCATTTTTACAATGTGAGCTGACCAATGGCGGCCCGTGTATCTGCAAAAGCAAAAAAGAAGATGGGAAGCCACACTATTATTCCTACTGTGAGAGCCGCGCCTTTCAGGGGCTTCAGATGCCCCCCTTCATAAGGGTCTAAAAACATTTTTTTTTTTTTTTGCAAAACAGTAAAAAAAAAAGTATTTTCCGTCCCGGGTTTCCTTGATCATGAATGGTGCCATTGATGAGAGAACATTAACAATATGCCGAAAAAAAAAAAAAAACTCCCCCAGCTGATTGTACGTGTCGGCGTGCGTCCGCTGTACGGACAAATGACGTCTAATGTATATTGTTTAGGTACAAAGCTTGGTGGTTGATCAGGTTTGTGGAAATTGCGAGGAATAGCTCCCACCTGCACATTCCTGACAATTCAATTACAATGCTGCGCTTATTTCAAATGAAAAAAAAAAAAAAAAATAGAAAGTAACGATATGTACAAAGAACGTAATGGCTGTCATTTGTGATCTTCGCGGCACCTTCCCACCCGGCATAGCGCAGCCACTAAATTGCTTCAGCCTGTAATTATCTGCTCCTTGCAGATTCCATTGTGTGCCGACTCGTCTGATGTGTCTCCGCTGCGCGCACCAAACGCGCGGTCTAGACAGCGAGCCAGCGCTGGGCGGCTGTGGGGAGCCGGCAAAAGCTGGAAATGCCTCTTTTATGCCGGATAATAGATTTGCCGTATGATTGAACCGCGCGCGCACAAACGTACAACAGCCCCTGCATTAAGGTGTTTTCAATCCCTCTTTAATATGCCCCCCGCCGCTCGCTGTTGTCACACCGCATGACTTAAGAGCGCCAGAACAAAACATGGAAGACAAAAAAAAAAAAGGAAAACATTTGATGCCTTGTTGAAGCTATCGCCTTCTGTTCGAGATAAAACGCAACCTTCAAAGAACGTGCGTCAAAGCTCGGTGTTTACACTGTCGTGCCGAGAGGTCTGATGTAAATACCGTCCCTTCCGGCTATTGGAATTATGTAGGACAAATCCCTCATTCCGAGACACAACCGCCCGCCGTTACACTTTGCTGCCATCAAAAGATCAGAAACCGAAAGTTGGCGGATGAAGAGAGAGGCGGCCGGAGTCACTCAGGGAACTTCTACAAACTTTCATGAACTTTCATGTCCATTCCAGACCAACGCACCACTCAAGCCTACGCAGGAATCCCACATTGATTTGCTGATCTTTCAATGAACTTTCTTCTTCCTTTTTCCCCCAAACATGAACTCTATGCAGTAAAAGAAATCCTACAGAGACCTTTCATTTCACCAAGAAGTAATAAACGTAGGATCAAACTGCGACCGGAGCGCGGCAAAGCACTCTAAACCTGCCGGTCCGAGGTATACTGACACAAAGGGGGCAAATGGTCTCCGGCGAACTTGCTGCTCCGACGCAATAATTTATATATATATACCAGGCATACCTCGGTTTACTAATTTGTTCTGCGGGACTTTTCGTATTGCAAAAAATTTGTAAACAGAAACGCAGTTATGTGACGGGAGTGACTTTTGGGGGTGGGGGGACCCCTGTAGCATCTTCCCAAATTCCTATGTTTAACCCACCCTGTGCCTGTTAAGGGGTACAGGGTAGGAATGTCTATTGTGTATTGGTGTGTTGTCCTTTCTTCTCTGCCTGCCCCATCAGTGGGAAGGGCTACAGGAAACACCCCCCACCCAACCAAGACACAGAACAATGGGATGTAGCACATGGCAGAGAACAATTGACAACCACATGGCAGAAAACAAATGTCAGAGATCCAGGTATGACCAGAGATGTGTGGACTGACACAGGGAAGTAGCCGGCTTCAGGAACACAGGCGTAGTCAAGGCTGGAGAGGTGGAATGGTCAGGCGGGCCATAAGGTAGTGTCAGGCACCGCCTGGCGGGATCTCTAGTGACCCACAGAACAGGATTCCCGAGGGCGCGGAGTCTAAGCCCCAGTCTGCCTTTTCACCAGATGGTGGGGATGGACTTGGCGCAGGACTGAGACCAGGTTGCGGCCCCTGAGTGCACCCAACTGTGGTAGAGGGGTCTGCCGAGGGTATGTACCGGGGGAAAGCCTGATGTGAAGGGGCTGGCAGGTTTGGACAGTAGTGACTGGATCTGTGTGGGATGGATGGATTGTCTGGGTAGCATCAGGCATAGTCAGGCAGGCCAGGTCAGCAACGTGCGGGCAGCGAGGTACCGAAGGAGCAGGCAGAGAATAGTCAGGGTCACAAGCCGGGTTCAGGAACTCACAGGCAGCGCGGTACAGAGGATCAGGCAGAAGGATGGTCAGGCAAGCCAGGGGTTAAACAGGAGACGGTCAGCAGGGTCAAGAACAATGCAGAGTCAGCAACAAATCAGATAGGCAGAGGAACAGGAACACAGGATACAAGGTACAGGGGCTCATGGGAAACATCACCAAGGCACTGACTGCAGGTCTGGCCATTCCTTAAATACACCTCCTGCAATCAGCCCCAGGTGTTGGCTGATTGCAGGAGTGAGCTTCTGGCTGCTGAGAGCACCCGCTGGTCAGCCCTGGTACTGCAGCCCACACGGCAGGTGAGTCCCACCACCAGTGCCGAGTCCATTCCTGAAACAAAGGACAACCACATGGCAGAGAACAATGGACAACCACATGGCAGAGAACAAAGGACAATCCCCACACCAATACACAATATCAGGACATTCACATTCACACCCTGTACCCCTTAACAGGCACAGGGTGGGATAAACATAATGAAGGGAACATGAGCTGACACAGGGGTCCCCCCACCCCAAAAGTCACTCCCGTCACAAGTTTCCCATAGGAATGCATTGAAAACCAATTAATCCTTTCTGGAGGTCAGGAAAAAGTAAAAAAAAATTATTTTGTCTGTTCAAAACTCTTTATGAAGTGCACTTTACCCTCCCTAGCGGTCTGATGATGTCAGTATTTCTGTGCTCAAAGCGGTACATTTTTTTGCATGGAAATATGTATTTTTTTTATTGTCGGCCTGTAATTTTTAGGAATAACTCCCTGAAATCTGTCCCACAAGAGTCTAGTAAACATCCCGGGGAGGATAAAACTTGAAACACAAAATCATAAATTATAATATATAAAATAATCATAAAAAATAATAATATAATATTAATAAATGTAATTCAATAATATAATCAAACCAAAAAACACTGAAATGTGAAATAGAGCGCCAAGTTGGCCCATCGCTGAGCTCAGTCGCAGAATCGTTTTCAGTGTCTGATGAGGAATTTCCCCCACCAATCATTATCACTCAATTCTGCAAGTGGTTCTGATTTACTATCGCTGTTCTCTAGCCGTCTAAAACCGCGTCTGACCTAAAGGGATGCTTTTTGGACGCCATGGACGTTTCTCAGTTTCCAGGAAGAAAGGGCGGTAAAAATGCAGGCGGGGCGCCGGACAAAGCACTCGGGACACAATGTATGTGAAATGGTTTGATACAGGAATGTTATACGATGTGATTTTCATTTATCAAAAATGTCAATTTTTAAAATTTTCAAATTTGCCGCTGGTTCCGTCCCCCGTACGTCCCGACGCTCACAGGGACCGGAACACGGAAGCCGGATGCATCGGCCGGAGGAAATTGCCGGGGACACTGCAGGTGAAACATCGCGGGAGCGCAGGACAAGGTAAGTGCTGCAGGGATCCCGGAGCAACGCTGCAGTGTATTCCCGAGTGTAGCTCGGGGTTACCGCTTGTGGTGCTGAAACTTTACCCCGAGCTACACTCAGGAGGGGGTTAAAGGCAGAAATACTGTACAGGGACATGATTAAAAATTAATTTGTAAATGCACTGAAAACTAATTAATCCGTTTTGGAGGTCAGAAAAAAAGTAAAAAAAGTCTTGTCTGTTCAGAACTCTTTATAAAGTGCACTTTAAAGGCATAAATACTGTACAGGGACATGATTTAAAAAATTCATGAATGCATTGAGAACCAATTAATCCGTTCGTATTGCAGAAAAAAATTCGTAAACCGAGCCAATATTTTCAATGGATTTTTAAACCGAGGTACGCCTGTATACTGTATATATATATATAGATATTACACTTTCCTTTCCTTTCAGAATCCACATTTTCTATGGGACTGCAAAATCCTCCCACAAATGCCGGCCATTGATTGCAAACAAGATTTGTGAATTTGCGATCACAAAAAAGTATTTTTCCTAACAAATTCATCCATGACCATGTTGCAAAAATGAACACACCCCAATGAAATTTTAGACAACAAAATCCTATTGAACAAGATTTCAGGTGAGTCTAATTATTCATTAAACAGGTGTCCAGCAGACAGATGATTATAAAAGGAACCTGTGAATGAATAAATGACAAGTCCCATCTCCCACCATGGCAGATGGACTCGTAGTAATCAAGGAACATATGTGCAGAAGTCGGCACACTCATAGTCCACTGACACTTCCTCCAGCTCTCTAAGTCTCATTTACACTAGCATTTGGGGGGCAGTGAAACCAAGTGGTTGTGCTAGGGAATTGACTATTCCTGGAATAGTCACATTTTCAAGCTGTAGGCGTTTGGTGGCCTTTGCTTAGAGTTGTTCTCTGGCCATAGGTGGATTGGTAGCCTTCACATAGGGCTGTAGGTGGTTGGTGGCCTTTGCTTAGGTTTTGTTCTCTAGCCGTAGGTGGTTTGGTGGCCTTTGCTTAGGGTTTGTTCACTGGCCGTAGGTGGATTGGTGGCCTTTTCTTAGGGGGCTGTTCACTAGCCATAGGTGGTTTGGTGACCTTTGCTTAGGGTTGTTCACTGGCTGTAGGTGGATCGGTGGCCTTTTCTAAGGGTTGTTCACTAGCCGTAGGTTTGGTGGCTTTTTCTTAGGGTTGTTCACTAGCCGTAGGTGGTTTGGTGGCCTTTGCTTAGGGTTGTTCACTGGCCGTAGGTGGATTGGTGGCCTTTTCTTAGGGCTGTTAGCCATAGGTGGTTTGGTGACCTTTGCTTAGGGGTTCACTAAACCGTAGGAGGATTGGTGGCCTTTGCTTAGGGTTGTTCACTAAACCGTAGGAGGATTAGTCACTGGCTGTAGGAGGATTGGTGGCCTTTGCTTAAGGTTGTTCACTGGCTGTAGGAGGATTTGTGGCCTTTGCTTAGGGTTGTTCAGTGGCTATAGGTGGATTGGTGGCCTTTGCTTAAGGTTGTTTACTGGCCGTAGGCAGATTGGTGGCCCTTGCTTAGGTCTGCTTACTGGCTGTAGCAGCTGGTGGCCTTTGCTTAAGGTTGTTCACTGACTGTAGGCGGTTTGTTGGCCTTTGGTAAAGGTTGTTCGCTGGATGTAGGTGGCTTGGTGGCCTTTGCTTAGGATTGTTTACTGGCTGTAGGGAGTTTGGTGGCCTCTGCTTAGCATTGTTGGTTGGCTGTAGGCAGTTTGGTGGCCTTTGCTTCGGGTAGATCACTGGCTGTTGAAGGTTTGGTGGCCTTTGCTTAGGTCTGTTCACTGGCTGTAGGTGGCTGGTGGCCTTTGCTTAGGTCTGTTCACTGGCTGTAGATGGCTGGTGGCCTTTGCTTAAATCTGTTCACTGGTTGTAGGTGGCTGGTGACCTTTGCTTAGGGTTGTTCACTGGCTGTAGGCAGTTTGGTGGCCTTTGTTTAGGGTTGTTCGCTGGCTTTAGGAAGTTTGGTGGCCTTTGTTTAGGGTTGTTCGCTGGCTATAGGAAGTTTGGTGGCCTTTGTTTAGGGTTGTTCGCTGGCTGTAGGCAGTTTGGTGGCCTTTGCTTAGGGTTGTTCACTGGCTGTAGGCAGTTTGGTGGCCTTTTTTTAGTGTTGTTCGCTGACTGTAGGCGGTTTGGTGGCCTTTGCTTAGGGTTGTTCACTGGCTGTAGGCAGTTTGGTGGCTTTGTTTAGGGTTGTTCACTGGCTGTAGGCGGTTTGGTGGCCTTTGTTTAGGGTTGTTCGCTGGCTGTAGGCAGTTTGGTGGCCTTTGTTTAGGTTGTTGTTCACTGGCTGTAGGCAGTTTGGTGGCCTTTGCTTAGGGGTGTTCACTGGCTGTAGGCAGTTTGGTGGCCTTTGTTTAGGGTTGTTCACTGGCTGTAGGCAGTTTGGTGGCCTTTGCTTTGTTGTTTACTGGCTGTAGGCAGTGTGGTCTTTGTTTAGGGTTGTTCACTGGCTGTAGGCGGTTTGGTAGGCTTTGTTTAGGGTTGTTCACTGGCTGTAGGCGGTTTTGGGCCTTTACTTAGGGCTGTTCAATTTAAGCTGTATAACTACCTGCTCACAGAAGGAAGTGGTAACTTCACTGGTCACCTCTCTGCTTTGGTAGAAGTGCGATCGGGATATATTTTTTCTTATACAGAAACAGCGGTGCCTAGACTAAAAAACGGACGCTAGAAGAAACAAGCAACATAAGGGACCTGCCTGGGGGAGCAGAAAAAAGGTCAAACCTTTCCACAGGGTGACAACACTGCTCATCCATACAGTACAATAAACAGGCATTGCCTCCCTAGGGCAGGACATTTGTTACTGGCAGGATCACTAGTTGAAAATGAAGAAAAAACAGCCTTAAAAAAAGAAAGCTAATAAAGCCACCACATGAGAGGACTGGTGAGCTGCAATCTATGACATTTTCGTTTTTGGGTTTACGTACGCTTTAAGTGCCTCTTGGAGCCATTGTTTGTGCAGTGAATGGAAGCGGAGTTTTATGAGAACAGTGAAGTGATAACGACGGGACTCTGAATGTAGAACCTGCCTGGCGAAGACGCTCCATTGTGCCATTTCTGGGACAACACAGGATCTGAAATTGCAGAGACAGAAATGTATTCATGGCCCCGGAAAGCTTCCTTTATGGCTCCTAAGTAAAGATGTTCCTCTCGGTATTTCTGTTAGCGTACACCAGCGTGAACCCCACAATGGAAAATGGTGGCCCGAGCCACTCAGTGCTGCACAACCGGTACATCCAGAGAAAGGATTCATTGTCATCAGACTAGAAAAGGAGAATGATAAAGCGTATGACTTCAGCACAGGTAGGAGGACCTGTCCTGAACCTCGGGGGGGGGGGCAGTCATTGGGATGGGAAAATTAGAGCTCATGTCCACTGAGAAGACTAACCGAGTTTAGTTTTTGTCCATGGATGGAAGATTAGCAATAAAACATGCTGAGATAAAGAGATCCACTTCACTACCATATTATAATTTGTTGGGCCAGTTATGAAACTGACCCACAGCCACTAACACATCAGAGGGAATTTATATAGGGGGGCCAAGGGAGTTCCATGTCTCCTTCTCTCTATGCAGTGTCTGGTGCAGACATGGCATAGAAAACTGATCAGATCCCTCTTAGGCCTCGTTTACACTTGCTTGATGGAGAGTGATCTCCCCGGTTTAGGTTTGTGGTGGATTTGAGCCTGATCCCAGTACGTTATAGAACATTGTCAATGTAATATGTAATGCCATGCATGTTTATATTGGAGTCCGATTACATTTGTATAAAGTGTTTTCTTTGTTTTTTTTTTTACAGTTGTTTCTATTTTTTTATCCCTTGAAATCCTCCTGAAGAAGGACGGGCTACTTTGTGAAACGCGTAGAGACACAAAGAGTTATAGGAAGACCTCTCCCACACCCACTTACATTGGGAGAATTCATACCATACGTGATATGGGTAGCCCTTAGTGGAGTCTGTTACAGCAAACAGGGCTCTTCAGTTGGGTCAAACCTTTTGGTCGGTGGTGTGGGTAACCCTTAGTGGGGTTCAGTATAACAAATAGGGATCTTCAGGCACTCCTTCGTATTTCTTGGGCACTTAAGATTATCAAGGAGCAGGGGCTACGTGGAGTAAAGCCCGACTTGTGGAAGACAAAGACTACCCATAAGCTGATTAGAGCCAAGGACATTGTGGAGTCTGTTCCAGGCCTGCCTTCAGCCGCTTGCAAGGTGGTCTGGAGGAATGTTTCTGCCACAGGCAGCCATCACACGCTTTGGTGTGCTGAACTGACTTTTCTGTTGAACGTTTACTCAGGAGGACATTGATGGTCCCTGGCAGGTGCTGCGTTGCTTCAAGGATGCTTTATGGTGCGCCAGGAAGCGCCTCATCCACCAGTGGGAGAGGATGTCCATTGAGGACTGTTGCAGACTGGTCCACAGTCTTCTCAGAGACTATAACTTGATGGCAGGGAAGTTGAATTTATATTTCCTGATGCCCGGAACATGTAGCTCCGGGTGCCGGGCAGGTAGTTTTGTTTAACTCTCAGCCCTGCTGCGGCAAGCATCAGGGCTCACCTGTCAGGTGAAAGCATTCAGGCGGCCATGCTGCACTCGATTGCTTTCACACAACCTACAATTTCACCATCCACCCCCTCCCACAAGAACCTCCCACCGCCCACTGTTTCCTGGGCTCCGCTTGCCCATCTGCATGTCTGGGACAAGTCCACTGCCGTCATCTAGAGGGGAGGGAAGAGAGCAGACACGTCCACTCCCCTCCCCTCCCCTTCTTGTCCTAATCCGGAAGTGACGTTATGATGTCACTTCCAGGTCCCCGTTGACAGATTTCCCTTCCATAGAGTCCGGGAATTAATGTAATGCCGTGTGATGTGCACTGCATTACATTCAGTGGAGCAGAGTCAGACCCTGAATGCCTCAATAAAGAGAACCTGTCACCAAAAACCATCACAATGGGGGACTTTTCTCCCTTGCGTGTCTTTGTCCTTTCAATATAACTTGAGGCCTGTGAACTCTTTTTTCCCTCACTCATCCCTTTTTCTTACCCC